CATATAAATATTTACATCGAGCAATGCTCTCTTAAAGCTCTAATACTGTATTGGATCATTCTGTTTATATATGTTACACTGAAGGGTGGAATCTTAGAAATGGTGTTTATTTACCTTCGTGTATTATGGAGAGCAGGTAACATACACCATCCTTCAGTCAACAACATGGACTTCACTGCTGGTCGTTAGCTGGGATTCTTCTTCTTGATTGGTCGGTTCTTCCCACCAGCCCACAGGTGGTGGATAGTTACAGCCTGCTTTGGACGTCTTCGCAAAAATACTTTAACTCTGTAACTAGGTGTTGTCCTTTACAGAGAGGTTGCTCTACTGTAGCAACTCTCTGGTAAGAGGATACCTCTCCTTAAAGGACACTTTGACTCTGTAACTAGGTGTTGTCCTTTACAGAGAGGTAGTTCTACTGTAGCAACTCTCTGGTAAGAGGACACCTCTTTTTAAATGACACTTTGACTCTGTAACTAGGTGTTGTCCTTTACAGAGAGGTAGTTCTACTGTAGCAACTCTCTGGTAAGAGGACACCTCTTTTTAAATGACACTTTGACTCTGTAACTAGGTGTTGTCCTTTACAGAGAGGTAGTTCTACTGTAGCAACTTTCTGGTAAGAGGAAACCTCTCCCTAAAGGACACTTTAACTCTGTAACTAGGTGTTGCACTTTACAGAGAGGTTGTTCTACTGAAGCAACTCTCTGGTAAGAGGACACCTCTCTTTAAAGGACACTTTGGCTCTGTAACTAGGTGTTGTCCTTTACAGAGAGGTAGTTCTACTCTAGCAACTCTCTGGTAAGAGGACACCTCTCTTTAAAGGACACTTTGGCTCTGTAACTAGGTGTTGTCCTTTACAGAGAGGTAGTTCTACTGTAGCAACTCTCTGGTAAGAGGACACCTCTCCCTAAAGGACACTTTGTCTCTGTAACTAGGTGTTGTCCTTTACAGAGAGGTAGTTCTACTGTAGCAACTCTCTGGTAAGAGGACACCTCTCTTTAAAGGACACTTTGACTCTGTAACTAGGTGTTGTCCTTTACAGAGAGGTAGTTCTACTGTAGCAACTCTCTGGTAAGAGGACACCTCTCTTTAAAGGACACTTTGACTCTGTAACTAGATGTTGTCCTTTACAGAGAGGTAGTTCTACTGTAGCAACTCTCTGGTAAGAGGACACCTCTTTTTAAATGACACTTTGACTCTGTAACTAGGTGTTGTCCTTTACAGAGAGGTAGTTCTACTGTAGCAACTCTCTGGTAAGAGGACACCTCTCTCTAAAGGACACTTTGCTTCTGTTTCTAGGTGTTGTCCTTTACAGAGAGGTAGTTCTACTGTAGCAACTTTCTGGTAAGAGGAAACCTCTCCCTTAAGGACACTTTAACTCTGTAACTAGGTGTTGCACTTTACAGAAAGGTTGTTCTACTGTAGCAACTCTCTGGTAAGAGGACATCTCTCCCTAAAGGACACTTTGGCTCTGTAACTAGGTGTTGTCCTTTACAGAAAGGTTGATCTACTGTAGCAACTCTCTGGTAAGAGGACATCTCTCCCTAAAGGACACTTTAGCTCTGTAACTAGGTGTTGTCCTTTACAGGAAGGTAGTTCTACTGTAGCAACTCTCTGGTAAGAGGACATCTCTCCCTAAAGGATACTTTGGCTCTGTAACTAGGTGTTGTCCTTTACAGAGAGGTAGTTCTACTGTAGCATCTCTCTGGTAAGAGGACATCTCACCCTAAAGGACACTTTGGCTCTGTAACTAGGTGTTGTCCTTTACAGAAAGGTTGATCTACTGTAGCAACTCTCTGGTAAGAGGACACCTCTCTCTAAAGGACACTTTGTCTCTGTTTCTAGGTGTTGTCCTTTACAGAGAGGTAGTTCTACTGTAGCAACTTTCTGGTAAGAGGAAACCTCTCCCTAAAGGACACTTTAACTCTGTAACTAGGTGTTGCACTTTACAGAGAGGTTGTTCTACTGGAGCAACTCTCTAGTAAGAGGACACCTCTCTTTAAAGGACACTTTGGCTCTGTAACTAGGTGTTGTCCTTTACAGAGAGGTAGTTCTACTCTAGCAACTCTCTGGTAAGAGGACACCTCTCTTTAAAGGACACTTTGGCTCTGTAACTAGGTGTTGTCCTTTACAGAAAGGTTGTTCTACTGTAGCAACTCTCTGGTAAGAGGACATCTCTCCCTAAAGGACACTTTGGCTCTGTAACTAGGTGTTGTCCTTTACAGGGAGGTAGTTCTACTGTAGCAACTTTCTGGTAAGAGGACACCTCTCTCTAAAGGACACTTTGACTCTGTAACTAGGTGTTGTCCTTTACAGAAAGGTTGATCTACTGTAGCAACTCTCTGGTAAGAGGACACCTCTCCCTAAAGGACACTTTAGCTCTGTAACTAGGTGTTGTCCTTTACAGGAAGGTAGTTCTACTGTAGCAACTCTCTGGTAAGAGGACACCTCTCCCTAAAGGACACTTTAGCTCTGTAACTAGGTGTTGTCCTTTACAGGAAGGTAGTTCTACTGTAGCAACTCTCTGGTAAGAGGACATCTCTCCCTAAAGGATACTTTGGCTCTGTAACTAGGTGTTGTCCTTTACAGAGAGGTAGTTCTACTGTAGCATCTCTCTGGTAAGAGGACATCTCACCCTAAAGGACACTTTGGCTCTGTAACTAGGTGTTGTCCTTTACAGAGAGGTAGTTCTAAATAAAATACTAGTGTGTGACAGAGTAACAACGTTGTTATTAAAATGTCTCCCACCATTTATTTATTAGGATTTGGTCTATTATTATCTTGTAGATCTAACCCCTAATCCAAATTGTGTCTTATCATTGACTTTTTCTCATCTAGAAGTGATGACATTATAAATATCTCAAGACTTCTCGTAATAAGTTTATTTATTATCAAAACAGAAAGCTTTCGAGGTATAACTCTTTATCAAGAAAAATTAAAATTAAGAGTAAACACTGGAGAATACAGTCGACTCTCGAAAATTTGAAACTCAAGGGACCAGAGAAAATTTTCAATTCATATAGAGTTCAAAATAACAGGAGTTTAAACAACCAAGAGGGAAGGAGGAAGGGAGTGAGGGAGGGAAAAAATAAAGTAAACAAGAGTTTGAAGTTTTGATAATTTCAGGATATACATATTATGATGCATTAGCGCGCCATCTGTTATCAAAATTGGAAACTATTATAGACACGTATGTGATTCTTTTTTAAAAATAAACAATTTCTACTGTCCTTACTGCAATGGAAAGATCGAAAAATGCAACATAACAGCGATATGGTAGATTAAATTGGCGAAATCGCTAGGAGGGTTCCTCACTGATGAGCCAGGCCCTCCCATTAATTTTTCCATTGCAGTAAGGACAGTATAAATTGTTTATTTTTTAAAAAGAATCTTACGCATCTATAATAGTTTCCAATATTGATATACATACTATGTTGATACAAGATTAAATAAGTAACTTAACGCAAATGTGTTTTTAAAGTAATAAATTTATTGGGAGCTTTCGGGTCTTGCTCTTTCTCAAACAAGAGTTTGATCTCAAAATTTGTGATTTATTATTTTAAATATTTGTATAGTTATTTTAAATGTTCATTTATGTCAAGATACTATTCCTTCAACTTAAAATTACTGAGAGGACCAATTAATATAGATTTTATTCAACTTATCGAGTATTTTTCAAGGGACTGTGAAAAACATTCAATATCAAATAACGAAACTATTATAGACGCGTAATATTCTTTTAAAAATAAAACAATTTCTACTGCCCTTACTGCAATGGAAAAATTAAAGGGAAGGCCTGTCTCATCAGTGATGAACCCTTCCAGCGCTTTCGCCAGTTTAATCTACCATACCGCTGTTATATTGCATTTTTGGAACTTCCTTTTATAGTGACACTGATGCTAGACTCTTGGAATGGGTATTTTAGATGAACTATGGACATAAGCTTTGAGGACAGTAGAATTACATACAATTATAAATATATAATATACTTCGAGCAATCGCTCTTCCGCAAATATCAAATTGTGTCTTCTATTGAAACAATTATATTACGATGCACTAGCGCGCCATCTTTTTAAAAAGATAATTACGCGTCTAAAATAGTTTCGTAATTTGATAATAGATGGCGCGCTAGTGCATCGAATCATTCAATATATTGAGAGATTCAAATTAACGAGTTTCAAAATATCGAGAGTTGACTGTATATATTTTATTCGTATTATGTCCAATGTAAAATGTTTACTCGCTTGAGATATTCAAGATCATCTCAAATAACATGTTGTAGGGTAATTTTTAGAAAGTTTTACTTTGAATGTTGAATGCTCCAATTGGCAATGCGGACATCGAGAAATTGTTCACACAAGTTTTTCTTCTTTTTTATAATAAACACTATGGAATTTATCCGTCTTTTTGCACGGTTCTTACCTGAGCGAAATTTTACCAAAACGAACATTTAGTAAACAATATTTTCGTAAAACTGAATTTATCAATTATCCCGCATGTGTTTATTTTGAACGAAAAATCGAAATTTATCTTTAAGGAGAAATAACGATTATTTCTAACCTTATTGTTTTTTTTTTTTTGCTTATCCCGAGTGGGTAGTTAGCGACTGCTTTTACTGTAAGCGCACCACATGTCTACATATGGTACAGGCCATGATAATCCTGGTGGGTAGTTAGCGACTGTCTTTTACTGTAAGTACACCACATGTCTACATATGGTACAGGCCATGATAATCCTGGTGGGTAGTTAGCGACTGTCTTTTACTGTAAGTACACCACATGTCTACATATGGTACAGGCCATGATAATCCTGGTGGGTAGTTAGCGACTGTCTTTTACTGTAAGCGCACCACATGTCTACACATATGAAAATCAGTTTGACTTTGCACTTACAAATGTGCCAGAGCCCCGTTTGGTTACTTGCACTCGCTGGTGGAGACCTTAGTGATGAAGTATGAAAGGATGAATTGTGAAGAGTAATGATAAACGGAAAAATAAAAGTGTACAGGGATGGGAAACAAACCCACAGTGTTCTGCTTTCCAGGCAGATGTCATGTCCACTAAGCTACCCTGGACATATTTTTCCGTTCGTAAATATTATATAAAGTAATTTATAATACAATATAATGCGGCTTATGATTGTAGAACGATATTTAGCAATGTTCATCCCTAAGGTTAGAAATAATCGTTATTTCTCCTTAAAATAAATTTAGATTTTTTCCTTCAAAAGAAACACATGCGGGATAATTGCTAAATGTCGTTTTACAACCATAAACCGCATTATATTGTATTATAAATTACTTTATAGAAGCAATGGGCGCCTCTCCCGTCAAAATAAACGTCAAAATCTGACGCCATCTATTGACCGTCGCCGCAACTAGCGGCCTCGGGTCGGTGACAAAGCCACAACACCAGCTTTGGCAAACTGAGAAGCGTCCACCTAGAGACCATGGTTTCTGGCTAATGGCCCTTGTCAGTCTATAAATTACTTTATATAATATTTTCATGTCAAACATCCAGTTCCAAAATAAATTTACTAGGTACCAGTCAAAAAGAGCATTCTAGGTTATGTTATTGCTGTGCCTGAAAATCAGCTACAACCATCTACAATAGATGACGCTTTCGACTGTTTACAGTCTGGAACTGGTGTGGGAATCGCCGACTGCTGTGGTCCTGTTTCCTGGTGCAAATCTATGTAAATATACGTTTATATTGGCCCTAGGAGGTAACGTAATGTAAATACCAGTTTATTGTTATTCTAGTTATATGTAATGTGTAGTAGAAATGACAATAAAAAAGGGAGGAGTGTTAGCAGTCTTGGTGCCGGTTGCTGTTGTTACTCTCACCAACACCACAGTAGCTTCTGGTAAGTCTCTCGTGTCCCCCCACCAGTGGTAAGGCCGAGAGATACTGCCAGAGGAAAGGAGATCCACTTGAGTGGTGGTTCTCGCAGGTCTTTGGGTGATCTGCAGGGTAGAGCTGCACAAGAGAGCAACGGGAGCCTGGGTAGGTGATCCACGATAGAAGAAGCGACGTCGTTGCGAAGAATCGGAGAGCAAGCGCGCGACAATATTTACAACAATGAATACATCTCAATAACTAGACGTATGGAAATGATGTGTAATCTCTTTATATATGAGACAAATCTACAGGGTCCATTATAAAAGTAATGAGCATAATGTCATTGTGGCGCGACGATAGATAGCAGCACGGTAAAACCGTGGGAAATGTGGTGGAGGGATATGCCCTTTCAATCCATCCGGTCGTCAGTTGAGTTCGAGCAGTGTGAGGGGAGATACATGCCTCCGCTTAAAGTGTGTTTTCAACTTTTGTAACATAGCGCGATGGAGCGTTCGCTTGAACAACGATCCTCCATAAAGTTTTGCGTGAGGCTTGGAAAAAATGCAGCTGAAACATTCCAGATGCTGCAAAAAGACTTCAAGGACGATTGCATTTCAAGATCACAGTCTGAGAAGTGGCACAAGGCGTTCAAGGAGGGCCGGGAGGAGGTCGCCGACGAACCCCGTTCAGGACACCCAACAACGGCCAGAACTGACGAGAACGTGGATCGTGTGCTCGAAGTTTTGCGTACCGACCGTCGATTAAGCATCCAGCAAATTGCTGACACATTACACATGTCCACATTTGTGGTAAATAGGATAGTGACCGAGGATCTGCAAATGCGTAAGGTCTGTGCGAAGCTTGTGCCGAAAGTGTTGACGCAAGACCAGAAAGAACTTAGAGTTTTGCGCTGTCAAGAATTGTTGGATTTGATTCAAAATGAACCAGGCTTTCTGAACTCTGTAGTAACCGGAGACGAATCCTGGATGTTTGAATACGACCCAGAGTCGAAAAGGCAGAACTGTGCATGGCACACAAAATCATCCCCACGCCCCAAGAAAGCGCGAATGAGCAAGTCGCGCATCAAAACGATGATCATTGTCTTATTTGACATCCGAGGAATAGTCCATTGTGAGTTTGCACCGCAGGGACAAACTGTAAACTCAGCCTTTTACCTGGAGGTACTTTGGAGATTGAAACGCCGGATCGCACGCGTGAGGACTGACATTAAAGACACGGTCAAGCTCTACCATGACAATGCCACCAGTCACACAGCCTTCATCATTACCAACTTCCTGGCCCGGAGCAACACCCCGGTGATCCCTCACCCCCCTTACAGTCCCGACTTAGCTCCATGTGACTTCTTTTTGTTTCCGCGACTCAAGAGAGAGATGAAAGGAAAACATTGGGAAAACCGTGGAAAACATCCAACACCATGTTACAACGTTCTTGAGAAGCATTCCTGTCGAGGAGTTTCAGGGTGCCTTTCAGGCGTGGCAAACGCGTCTCCGCAAGTGTATTGATGCAGGAGGAATGTATTTTGAAGAATATTGAACATTTGCACAAATTACGATCAATAAATGTATTTTGCCAGTGAATGCTCATTACTTTCATAATGGACCCTGTATTATGCAATTAGAGATTGGTAGTGTAGTGGTATGAAACGTCGACTTTTGATAGCGAAAACACGGGTTCGAATCCCGAAATGGACAACTTTTTTATTCTGAAGAAAAATTTGCTTCATTGCTCTATGATTTTTGTAAAATTCCAATCCTACCAGTGAGTGACCACTGACCACCAAACACCACCTATGAATATTGTAGGAGAAAAGGTTATTCACATATATAAAACAAAATGTACAATGCGGGATTCGACTTTTTCACTCACAAATGTGTCAGCACCGTTTGTTCACCTGCACTAACTAGTAGGATTGGACTTTTACAAAGATCAGAGAGCAATGAAGCAAAATATTTTTCTTCAGAAGAAAAAAAAGTTGTCCAATACGGGATTCGAACCCGTGTCATCGCTTCAATAATCGATGTTTCATACCACTACACCACCAATACCTATCTACATAATAGTTTTGTCTCATATATAAAGAGATTACACATCATTGCCATACGTCTAGTTATAGAAATGTATTATATATAAATGCTATTACGCTATGGAATAAATTCCTACAGTACTATTACTGGAGAATTAGAGATAGTTATGTTGGAGAAGTCCGACCACACCTCATTGCGGTCCCCCCCTGGACCCTTGGAATATCTGACTAAATTCTGGTTCGTTTCCAAGGTGAATAACGTCGCAACGGCACTCATTTTCCAATGAAGAGCAATGATAGAGGACATTGCTGTGATAGAGATGTACGGAGACATCTGAGGCTCTTCATTGGACACAACAACAGAAAATTGACCCAGAACAGCAGCTTTACACACCCAAGATAGAGGACATTGCTGTGATAGAGATGTACGGAGACATCTGAGGCTCTTCATTGGACACAACAACAGAAATTTGACCCAGAACAGCAGCTTTACACACCCAAGATAGAGAACATTGCTGTGATAGAGATGTACGGAGACATGTGAGGCTCTTCATTGGACACAACAACAACAGAAAATTGACCCAGAACAGCAGATTTACACACCCAAGATAGAGGACATTCCTGTGTTAGAGATGTACGGAGACATCTGAGGCTCTTCATTGGACACAACAACAACAGAAAATTGACCCAGAACAGCAGCTTTACACACCCAAGATAGAGGACATTGCTGTGATAGAGATGTACGGAGACATCTGAGGCTCTTCATTGGACACAACAACAACAGAAAATTGACCCAGAACAGCAGCTTTACACACCCAAGATAGAGAACATTGCTGTGATAGAGATGTACGGAGACATCTGAGGCTCTTCAATGGACACGACAACAACAGAAAATTGACCCAGAAAAGCAGCTTTACACACCCAAGATAGAGGACATTGCTGTGATAGAGATGTACGGAGACATCTAAGGCTCTTCATTGGACATAACAACAACAGAAAATTGACCCAGAACAGCAGCTTTACACACCCAAGATAGAGAACATTGCTGTGATAGAGATGTACGGAGACATCTGAGGCTCTTCATTGGACACAACAACAACAACAGAAAATTGACCCAGAACAGCAGCTTTACACACCCAAGATAGAGGACATTGCTGTGATAGAGATGTACGGAGACATCTGAGGCTCTTCATTGGACACAACAACAACAGAAAATTGACCCAGAACAGCAGCTTTACACACCCAAGATAGAGAACATTGCTGTGATAGAGATGTACGGAGACATCTGAGGCTCTTCAATGGACACGACAACAACAGAAAATTGACCCAGAACAGCAGCTTTACACACCCAAGATAGAGAACATTGCTGTGATAGAGATGTACGGAGACATCCGAGGCTCTTCATTGGGCATGACAACAACAAAGATTGTTATGTATAATTTGTTCGAGGGACCTGGTATTTTATATTCCCATAAGGAAGGGAAAAAATGTCACGTTGAGAAATCTTGAAGAAACTTCCCCCCAGTCATGATCAGCTTGGAGAGATGAAAATGAAGGCCATTCTCAGAACCTTGCAGGAAGTTGCTAAATGTTACCGAGATACATACCGGTAGCTTGATTTCCCCACAGCTTGGGGATGTTGATTGGTAAGTCAAATAACTGCCAGCCTGATGTAATGGAAGTGGTGAGATAACCAATATCAGCCGTTATGAAAAAGGCCTCTCCTTATCGTGTAACAAAAAGTTGCTGATGGCTTGCGCCATCTATCGGAATAAATATCAACTATTCTCGTTGATTTTTAATCATTCTAGAATTTTCCAAATACACGGCAGTGGTGTAACATTATCCTTTAGAGAGAGAGAGAGAGAGAATTCCTCTTACTGAAGAGTTACTTATTGGTAAAAAAGGTCATTTTGGTGTTGACAACTGTCTTCCTTTGTAGAGAGGTGTCCTCTAGCAAGAGTGTTGTCTTATAGAAGTTCTACTCTACTAAGTTCAAAACATAGAACAATAGCCTTTTTGGTCGTTGAGGTACAGCTTACACCACGCTGATGAGGGCCAACAGCCCGAAACGCGTACCCGGTTATCTCTTCTAGGTTAATCAAGAATGGGTATTTGACCAATTCTAGAATTAAAAAAAAAAAATCAACGAGAATAGTTAATATTTATTCCGATAGATGGCGCAAGCCAT